GGCAATCAATCTCATTATTCGATTCGAAGAGTCACGCGAAGTCCTTGTGGCGGCGGTTGTTGCTAGTGAACATTTTATCTATTATCAGATGGCTATAACTGACCTAGTCTTTTAGCCCACGTGCATGTAAGGTATCACTCAAGTTGAAAATTCCAATTCCATGCTAACAAGTCGTTGTTACTTACGCATATACAGGGGTTGAATAAAAGAAAAAGAAATGCCTGTTTAACGATGTGCAATTTTCCCCCAGACTTAAATGGGATAGCTCCGCAGATGACTGATGAATTTGGCATTCAAATGAATTCTCAGACAGGTAATCTGTATTATTCAAATATATGTAACCTTTATTCAGCGTTAATTGTCAAACAACATGGGAAAGAAGTAAATGTGACTTAAGTCACTTCCAAGAGACTTTGATTAATAGGTGCTTTAGTGACCCAAGTTGCACAGTTTTGTGGCTTTGCAGGTGTAACAGTATCGGAGGTTATTACAACACAGCGACTATTTCATAAACCTCATCGGGTAAATGTAACAGTAGTTGGTAGATCATTATAAGTGAACAAGACCGCTATGATCTATGTCAAATTCCGAATGAAACCTAACTCTTCAGATTACCTGTTAGGATCTTGATGATGCTCTACTATAAATAACTGAAGATGTTCTGAAAGCCAAAGTGTTTCTATTTATTGTCCACCCCCTGAAAGTACAACTTATAGTTGCACTTCTAATATCAATATGTGTTAACGAAGCAAGTCTTATATACTTTATCCAAAACCACAGTAACGACATAGACTCTAATGTCCCGAGATAAACTCTATCTTGGAAATATTTGTAATGTTCTAGATGAATTAATCACTAACATTCTCTAGGAATTTCAGTCCATTTCAACGAGGAAAAACACTTCCAACATTACATGTTTAAGTGTGATTGCCAGTAGTCTGAGGTGTTAAAAATATATTACGGGCAATAAACTAATAGGTTAATCTTATAGCTCAGCTCACACAAATGCTTTTAACTAGTTGCTCAGATTTGAATACTAAGAAGTGCTAGTGGTGTCATCTGTTGGAAATGTAGTCCTTTTTTTTTTTTGAGGATTATGAAAGTATACAAACTCCCATCATGAAGATTTTATTTCAAAGTGTAATTAATTAATGAAACAAAAAAAAAACTAATTTAAAACACATTTTACAGGGAAAATGTGCTGCGTAAGTTGTAAAACATTGAATAAAAATAAATACATACATTATCGTTGAAGAATCTAATATTTCAAGTGTGTATGGCAATTAATGGTGCAAGCACGTGAGATGACGTCACACGTCACTACATGGAAAACCACTACACGTCTTGTAACTGTTCCAGGTATTTTTGTTGCGGCCAAATTTGACGTATATATATTTTATAATGTTGTTTTCCATATCATTACTTACTTAAAGAGAAATCAAACAAAATATTACCATGAAAATTGCCCAAAGAAAAGTAAAAAAGAAACAAATAGAATTATACAAAAGTTATAAGAATGTAAGGTACGACATCACAATCTTCCTCACTAGTAAACCTCAGAATAACAAAGATTTGGACAAAACTTCAATGTTTACTTATACTTAAACGTATGGCCTGGTAGTTAGGGCACTCGACTTACAATATTCTTACTTTCGAGAATCTTCTACAACTTTGGAGAATAAGCGGGAGTTTCGCAATACCTATCTAACAGTACAAGCTCTGTATGTTTCTTTTGTTTGTTTGTTTGAAGTTACGCACAAAGCTACACAATGGGCTATCTGTGCTCTGCCCATCACGAGTATCGAAACCCGGTATCTAGCGTTGTAAGTCCGCAGACATACCGCTGTGCCACTGGGGGGCATGCATATTTCTAAATACATAAACTTAATCTAAACAACGTTCATATTAAAATAAATACATAACAACAAATTCGTTATAACACTTATGTAATTTTCTAAGTTCCTAGTTTCATATATATACTGAAAATCAACTATATTTAAATCAAAATGATGGTCACTTTAAATCTAATGTCAAATATTATACATAATTATTGAAATATATTACTGACATATTCACATATATTAATTTATGTGATAAATTATGATA